AAATAGAGATGGTGGCAATTAGTATTCTTCCCTCACTTCCTGTCCTGGGAGCAAAGTACATGATTCTTCACCATTACATATGATGTGTGCTTAGGGTTTGCTTTTGCCTGATTGTTTTAGTAATTGTTATTTTAGATTGTGAAGTTTCCTTCTATTCCTACTTCACTGAGTTGTATTTTTTTTTCATTAAGTTTATTGGTTCATTTTAAATATACAATATGATGGCATTCATGACATTTAGGTATACAGTATGATGAATTTTTACCTTTACATGATGTATCTTGATTCTTATTTTCTTCCCCATTCTTCCGCCCTCCCTTCAACCCCTCTACCCCTCCCTATTTACAAAGACTTTTGTTTCTGTTTTTCCCTTATCTTGTACTTATTCCTTTCCCTTTTTCCTCTCCCCTGCCCCTCCCACTTCCCCTTCCCCTATGGACCTTTTCTTCCTATTTCACATTATCTATTATATGTTTTGATCCTTCTTTATACTTTCAGGGTCTCACACCAGAGAAACTATTCAGTATTTACACATATGTGTCCTATTTATGTCACTTAAGAATATGGCCTCAGTGTGCATCCATTTAGCTATAAATGTCTCTAGTTTCTCATTCTTTATGGCTGAGTAGTACTCTATTTTATTTTTTTAAAAAAACACATATTCTTTATCCAGTCTCCATTTGATGGACAATTGGACTGTTATAGTGGCACAGTTTGTAATAGCTTAGAGTCGTATTTTTAACTATGAGTGTATCTTGAATTTCATTGAATATTATTCTGCATCTTTTCAGATGGTTATGTGTTTTTTTCTTATTCTGTTGATGTGATGATTATGTTTGGTTTTCAAGTGTTAAACCAACCTTGCTGAACTGGATGAAGTCACACTTGACCATATCTTTACTGAAACCACTGAATCCTGTTGGCTGGTATGTTTAAAATATCCGCATCTATGTTCATAGGAAAGATGACCTTGACTTTTCTTTTTTGAAATATCCTTGTCATGCTTTGATATCAAGGTTATACTGCCTCATAGTAATGCTCTAAGAAGAACTGTATAAAAATTAATATTATTTTGTCCTTAGATATCTGGAAGAACTTACTGGTGAAGTCATCTAGACTTTGAGTTCTCTTTGTAGGAAGATCACTACAATTCCCAGTTTAACTTAATTGATATTGGGAAATTAGTATTTTTACTTTTTATGTTTTATACATTGTGGTTTTTTATTACTTATCTATGTTATCAAATTATTTTGTTCATATTGTCTATTGAATAGAGTGTTCAAATATCTCTAGACCCATAGTGCTGTTCAATTTGTAATTCCTGACATTGGTGATTTGTGCCCCCCCAATCAATCTTGCTAAACCTTTATTAATTTTATTTGTCTCTTTGGAAACCCCAAAGTTGGCATTATTGATTTTTCTTAATGTACTGTTAATTTTTTTATTTTGTCAATGTATGCTTTTATTATCTCTTTCCTTTTCCTCTCTTTGGATTTACATTTGGTATCTTTTTTAACTTCTTGAGATGAATTTTAGTCAGCCCCCTCTGTTCTCTAGTAAATGCATTTGAGGCTCTAACTTTTCCTCCATGCGCATATTTCACTGTACTCAAACACTTAGATTTAATTTTTGCTATGTAGCATTTTTTATTGTTATTCAATTAAAGGTACTTTCTGATTCATATCAGATTTTTATTTGACCCTTGGGTTGGATTGTTCAATTTCTAAAACATTTGTGGATTTCATAAGTATCTATATGTACATATGCGTGCATGTGTCTACACGTACGCACATGTGCATATCATATATGTGCATACACAATGCATCTCTACTTTAATTTCACTATGGTCACAGAATATATGAAGCGTGATTTAATTTGTGAAGTCTGTTGGGACCTGCTTTTCAAGCCTTGCGTTTGTTCTCCCAGGGAGCGCTCTGTGTGTACCTGGAAAGCTAACTTGATCTTCAGTGTGTGGGGCACTGTTCTGTACATGTCAGGTCAGGTTGCTGCTCAAATTGTTCACATTTGTCTCTGTTGATGCTCTCTCTGCTCCTCTGCTGGTTGCTGATGAGAGATGTTCAGTTATCCCATGGTGGTCATGTGATTTCCCTTTTGCCAGTTTGCTTTATATGGTTTTTTAAATTTTGTTGTGATGCTGGGTATTAATCCAAGTAATGCAAGCATTCTACCACTGAGCTACTTTCTCCAGTTTGCTTTATATGTTTTAAGATTATATTTGTAGGAGCGTAAAGATTTACAATTGATTTTCTGCTGAACTGACACTTTTATAGCTATTAAATATTCTTTCTCCTTAGTAATAGAGTCTACTTTGTCTGTTATTGGTTTACCTATACCCATTTTCATTTGGCTAGACCATGATATATATTTCTCTGTCCTTTTACCATCAAACTTTCTGTATTTTTATATTTTAAAGTTGATATTAATCCTATCTGGCAACATTAACCTTTTAATTGGAAATATTAATCTATTTGTAATACATCTACTCTTATCATCTATCATTTCTTTCATTTGTTTTATCTCTTCCTGTAATGCTATTTTTCTCTCCATGCTCCAGGCTGACTATTTTCTCCCATTTCTCCAAGGTTTTCTTTCCTACTATGTTGTTTCTACTCGCAAATTTACCTACTGCCTTCTTAATTTCCATTATGGCCCTTTCTGTTCTGGAATTTCCATTTTACTTTTAGTATATAGCCTTTATCTCTCTGGAGAAACTCCCTCATCATTGTATCTATTTATCATGATCATTTTAAAGTTCTCATATAAAATGCTGGTGCAAACCACAAATGGTCTGTTTGCTCATGTGTCTATGGGTCAGCAATATGGGCTGCTGTGCTGGGTGGGCTCACTTGGGCTGACCTATGTATCAGAGCTCATATGACAGCTTTGTGGTGGCTGGGCAGTCTCAGTCTCACATGTCTGGAGCTGTCAACTGGCAGCCAGAGTACCTCAGCTCTCTGTCACCTAGCTTTTCCAGCAGGCTAGCTCAGACATGTTCCATGAGGCAGCAGCATTCTAAAAGGGTAAAAGTGAAACCCACAAGGTTTCAGGATTCAGAACACATGGTCCACTTTCACCATAGTGGAAATGACTCTACTCAACAGGAGGAACTACAAAGGATTTGCACCCATCTTAACCCACCATAGTCTGCCCTTTGCCATAATCTTTCATATCACTGCCCCCACTGTGCAAAGTGTACTCACCCCCACAAGACACCAAGAAGTCACCTAATTACAGACAGCATCATGCTCAAAGTCCAATATCTTGTGATTTGTGTTCTCACACAATGCCTGGTCCTAAATTAGTGCTATACATTTTAGGAGACTGATGTCACACTGCCCCACCTTTGATGCTTAATTTCTTTATCAGTTACCTATTGCTGCATAGAAAACCACAGCTAAATTTAGTAGCTTAACACATTGTCTTCGCTTATAGTGTTGTGGTCAGGAATTTGGCCTTGGCCCAGCTGGAAAATAGATTTTCCAGCTTTGCTTGGGAAGGGCTCAGGCAGCTTACTCAGGGTTGGGGGACTAGGAAAGCCTTACTCATATCTGTGGGGTGGTGTTGACTACTGGCTGAGGCACCCCAATTCCCCTTCATGTGGCCCCTCTACCCCATGGGCTCAGGTTTGTTCACATGGTCACACTCTAGGACCATGTGAGTTACACTTGTGGAAGCTCCCTAGTGTTGTAAGTCATCTAAGGTGACTACCTTAGATCATAAGATCAGGCCAAATTCAAGAGGCCCCATCTCTTGATGGGAAGCGTGACAGGTATTTAAGACTACTGAATGTGCCACACCATTAGCTCTGTTTCTAGGGACTGTTTTTTCCCTTGGATTTTAGTCTTTGTGTGGGGGGAAAAAAATTAGAGGCCCAATCCTATTATCTTTCTATTGCAAATAGGACTTTCTTCTTGTGTGCAAAATAATCATGGACAGGACAGTTTACTGAAGTCAAGGCTTGAGGTTACAAGAATCTCAACCAAAAATTTGGGATGTTTGTGGGCCCCCATTATAGGTACATCAAACCCCCAAGGCTGCGTTCCTCAGGGGCACAAGCTGGCTGATTTATCTGCTTCACTTTTAACGCCCCTCGCAGCTGCCTCTGCTCTGTACTCAAAACTCACCATCTGTACAGCTTGGCAACCCACAAATGTGATCATCAGGAGCTTGTCCCTGGTATTCATGTCCCACACAGTACTCTGCAGAGGAAACACAGACTGCAGTGTGCATTTGTGTCCGCTCTGTCTGGGATCATATCCTTCATGTCTGTCTTATCCAGCATTCCAGCAGTGTCTGTTGTCACCACTGATGATGACCACAGTTGTCACAAGAATCTCCAGTGGGAGGGTTGGTCTGTGCAAGTTTCATAGGCAGAAGGGCACTCCTACAGTTTCCGCATGGTCACATTAATTTCCAGTTTTGTTTCTATGCATATACCAAATCTTATCTCCTTTGTCAATGACATTTCTTGAAGGACCTTTGTTTCTAGAAGGAACTTTAGAGACAAACCCAGGAAGTAGTTTGAGCAGAACTCAAATTCCCTTGATAACTTGTCCTGCACCGTGGCCTTCTCCAAGTGCTTGTACCCCACCCACTCCACTGACCCAAGAGGAACCTGAAGTCCCCCAGTAAAGTTTTCCCTGGCTGCCATGAGTTAGAGGCACAGCCCTTGTAGATCAACAACCTAGACTTCCTTTTCCCATTCTGAGTAACAAAAATAAGGAAAGAATCCTTTCCCCAACCAAGGACGAGGCAAACCTTTCTCTTGTAAAATACCCTTATTCCCAGATTCCCTGGATCCCCACCTGGACAGGGTCTTACAGAACTCTGTCCCTCTGAGACTGACCATGTGAGACCGACCATGCTTATTCACAAAGGCTCCCATCCACCCTCGGCATAGGCACCAGAACCTCTGACAGTGTGGCAGGGATGGCCAATACATGTAGCTGCTCACACCTTCCTCTCCTTCTCCACTGCAGGCTGAGAGAGCATCACCGGGCTACCATCAAGGTCATCCGGCGCATGCAGTACTTTGTGGCCAAGAAGAAATTCCAGGTGAGTCCTGGCAGAATCCATCCATACTCCCATGCCCCCTTGCAACTCCCATGGCATCACAAGCCCTTCAGGCTTCCCTGCCCAAGAGGGAGGCTATTCAGGCAGACCTGTCCGGCATCAGCCCCTCGCCTTCAGGCATCCCTTGAAGACTTCATTGTTGTTCCAAGGAAGGCTCCTCACCCCAAGAGAGCAAGCCTCTCAGAGGACACTTGTCTGAGGCCAGGCCTAAGCACTCTTCCTCTTCACTAATCAAGAAGCAGCAGTCTCATGGCTCGCCCACCCTCCCCTGGGTCACACAAGCTTGCATCAGTGAGAGATGGACAGATGCCTTCAAAAAGACCAGAGAGTGCCCCAAGTCACTTGGGGAAGGAAGTGAAGTTCTCCTTGGCCAGCACAGTGCTCTTGCCTTCTATTTCCTTACCCCCAGCCAATGTGGTCAGGAAGGGGGAGAAGACTCCTGGCTAGGAAGGGCTGCAGCTTTGGGCTTCCAGTAGCCATCAGCAGCCCCTCCAGAGTAGGTCTCCTGAGCTCCCAACATCCAAGGCCTATGAAAGATGGCCTTGGAGGCAGACAGGGCTCCTTCTCTCCTGTAGGCACAATCCTGGGGTGGAGGCCATGGGGAGGGAAAGGCTTCGTATTCACTTTGAGATCAGTATATAGCTGTGGGAAACAGGCACCCTTAGCAGGTCATTCTCTTTGCAGAAGAACCTCATCACCAAGGTGGGAAATGACCCAACTGAGTTCCTCAACATTGCATGGTTTAGCCTTGCACCCAGCTCCAGGCCATGCCTTCTGTACCAGGCTATGAGGTTGAGGCAAGCTGGCTGATAGTCCCCTCAGTGCAGGTCTACCTGGACCCTGGGCCAACCACCCACAGCCTCTAAACTCCTTGGGCATTTTGGACCCAGGACTCCCCAAGCAGCCCTGAGCAAGTTCATCCCCATCTGTTCTGACAGCAGGAGCCCAAGGCATTGGCACCACTGTGTGCGTGCGGGTCTCACCTGTTCTTGCTCCTGACAGCCCCCTGCTGTAGCACCTGCCACCACTGTCACTATCACAAGCCCTGAGGGTAGACCCTGAATGGGCCTAGTGCTTGCCCACTGCTGAGCTCCTCCCACTAGCAAGAACATATAGCCCCTACCTGGTCACCTCAAAGGTCAGCTAACACATAGCAGTACTGTAGTGGCTATCAGGACTCAGTTGGGCCACACTACTCACGCTCCCACTGGCCCTGGGGCTGCTCTTTGTGGAAACAAATAAAAGCTCCTCTCAGCTGGCACCAGGAAGTCTACCCAGTGACGTCCTGGGGACATCTGGGAAACTCATAGGCAGGGCATCTGGGGCACCCCCAGCCATTGTGGAGGCCTACCTGTCACTGTGGCTGCTGGGGTGAGAGTTGACACAGAGCATGGGGGCTGCCTGATGGCTGTAGCAGCACCTCCCAGGTGGGGAAGAAGCTGCAGGAACCCTTCTGGGGTGAAGCATGGCAGGACTGTCCCCAAGGACAAAGGACCCGGTGTGTCTCCCTCACTGGGGAACAGCTTGGCAGTGACAGCTGAGAGTCACAAGGGATCTCCAGGGCCATGGCCATCCCCAGCCTGAGATAGTGGCTTCCTGTGGGCACAGAGCAGCACCCCTGGCATGGACCAAACTGGAACTTGCTTAGACTTGTAGGACAATGCTGAGATGGATACTGGTCTCCCTGAGAGTTACTTCTAGGGCCCAGGGACACCTAGCCAAGGATAGAGACCCTTGTGTTTCCCACTTCAGGTCAAGAGGTCAACCACAGCAACCCATGTGGACCTGTCACTGTGACACAGGCAAGAAAACTGCCTGCTGGCATGGGTGCAATGGAGGAACAGACTTCCAGGCTGGGGTTCCCTGTTCTGCTGCAGTCCTGACAGTGGCCCAGGAAGTTTCCAGAGCAGGCCGGGAACACCTACCTCGCCATCCTGCATCTCCCCTGCATCCCAGCAGCATATGACCTTTTGAGAACAGAGAATCCTGCACAAGGATGGAAGCTGGGGCCCCCCCAAAGAGCTGGCTCCTGTTGCCTGGGGCTACAGGGTGGGAAGCAGAAGGCCCCTAGAGAACAGCAATAAGTGGGGTGAGGAGAGAGCTCCTGGCAGGGAGGGCTTTGTGGGGCCCCTGCTCTCAGGGTATCCTCTGATATCAGCCTATCTGCCCACCTTTACCCCACCCACCCCAGCTAGCCTTGGGCTGCCAGCATGGTGGGTGGTCCCCCTTCCTATCTCGCTGGCAGATAAATCCCTGGCCCAGACCCCTGTGTCTGGCCCAAGGAGCCAGAGCCTCTTAAGCCTTTAAATTTTGTCTTGAGTACCCCCATCCACCGTCAGTCAGGCTGGATAGGCCGTCTTATCTCTGCAGCAGGGACATTAGCTCTAGAGAAAGCTGAGGTGGTCTTTCCAGCCAGACCCCAGGCAGCCACTTCACAGAGGCTTCACAAGCCCTGACCAGACCCCGACAGGGACCTGGGTGAATCCAAAATAATCTCAACACCTGGATGTTGTAGGGAGACAATGGGGAACATTTGTCCTTCCTGGCCTTTGCCCTGTCCACCCCACCCCCGTTCCTACAGAAGTGCCCTCTCTCACATAAGGTATACTAAATCACATGTCGGCTGAGACCTCTAACACACATACCCACACGTGCCTGGATGCAGTAGCCCCTGGCTCCCAGGCTGTCTGGCAGGGAGCAGTAGAAGCAACTGTCCACCCCAGCCCAGGTCTGTACCACCTCAAGCCCTAGCCCAGCTTGTTCCCCTGCCTGTCTCCCTCACCTACCCATGCCCCACCTTGAACTTCCCAACAAAAAGCAGTGACCCCAGCTCATCACTGATGGGGCTGAGGGGCAAAGAGACCTCCTGGGCCCAACCTGCTCTTTCATGGTTCCTCCGAACAGAGCACTCTACTCTCCCCATGACTCCCAGATCATCAAATGCTGCTCAGCCTGGCTATTACTCCCTGGGTGAGATTCTCACAAGGCCACTGAGAACAAGGCCTTAGGAGAAAGCTGATTGTGAGAAGCTTCATCTTCTCCATTGTGGTCTCTGCTGATGTCACCACCTGGACCTGGACCCCACTGATGGGATCAGAGCTGATACAAGGCCTGGAAGCTCTGTGGTCACCTGCCCTGCCCCACATGTCCCAAGGCCTGCTATGGGAGCCCAAGCAGGCGTCTACCGCCTCCCTACTCTGCAAATGTTAGGAGCTGCTGCCCAGGAGTATGTCCAAGATCATCTGGGGGTACAGACAAACAGGTGCTGTGTAGAGCTGTGCCTCCCACCCCACTGGATCATCTCTTACTGAGGCTGAGATCAAGACTGGTAGCCTGGAAGGAGAGCAGCAGGTCCTGGCAGTGGTATGACAGGAAGCTGAGCCTAGCAAGGCAAGACGACTGCCAGAGCTCTCCAGAAGTCAAACTGACACTTCAGAGACCCCAGAAATTGAACCAATAGCCAGGGACCCACAGAGGATGACCTGACAACCCAGGGCCTCAGTAGCCAGGATGGCCTAGGGGACCTCTAGAAGCTAAGCTGATGGCCGAGGCTTCTAAGAGGCTCAGCTGATGGTCAGGGGCATCCAGCCTGTAGTAGCAAAGCCATGGGGATTAGCCCTGCTGTGCACGTTCTCTGGGCCAGGCCTGCCCTATCACTGTCTGCATTTAGAGATGAACCTGCAAGACACAGGGGAGTGACACATGTCTCTTTGACCTGCAGCAAGCACGGAAGCCCTACGATGTACGGGATGTCATCGAGCAGTACTCTCAGGGCCACCTCAACCTTATGGTGCGAATCAAAGAGCTGCAGCGAAGGTGGGCACAGGTGGGGTGTGGGGACATGGGCACCTGGGGGCCACCATGGCATCTTCACTCCAGCTGGCCCTGCTCCACCCTCACAATGGGCAGTGCCAGCTCTAGCCTTGGCTGGGCTGAGGAAAAGAAGGAACCTTAAGTTGTCCCCAGAACCTTGAGTCTATCCCCTGGGTCTCCCCCATCCAGAGGTCTGACCCCCTGTGGCTCTGCCCACGGCTAGGTCTGTAGCTGGAGGCTCTGACCAGTGGGAACCATCATGTTCTAGAATTCTGGCTTGGATCCTTGTCCCCATGGAAATGGCATAGTCCTTTGGATCCAGCTCAGGCTTCGCTCAGCTGTACTTCATGGTGGGCTAGCCTGGGAACCTAGCTCTGTGTGTTACAGGGTACCAGTCCTAGCCACAGGTAGGCACTGGCATGTAGGGCCTCGCCCATGGCTGACCTCACTTGCCCCACCCAGGGAGGAAGTCTAAGCAATGACCCAGCTGCTACCCCTCATCTCTGAGCTTCCTGCTGGCCCTTTCAGGAGCATGAGCTCCTGTGGCCCAGGAGCCTCCTGCAGGTCCTGGGGGACCGCGGTGTGTGGCCCCTGAGTGGGTGGGCACATCAGCCTGTTCAGTGCTTGAGGCTGAGCGTGAGCTGCTCTCCGTCTCCTTCCCTTTCAGGTTGGACCAGTCCATCGGGAAGCCCTCCCTGTTCATCCCCATCTCAGGTGTGTTCTGCTCAGGGACTGGATGCCACCGTCCATGCCAGCGCTTCTCCTGCCTCATTGCTCTTCTCATCATCAGAGCAGGCCTTCAGACCTCCTCCTCCATAGCAGAAGTCAGGCCAGAGGGCAACCACCCTGAGAAAGGGCACCGGGGTCACACTTTACCGAGAAATTTGCAGGTTGTGCAAGGCTCCATTTTGGTCTCTAAATGACAAATTTCTGGACATGGAAGTCAGGCTCTGGGCATGGAAGTGTGACCTAAGGGCTACTTTTTAGGAAGGAGTCCTAGTGGTGGAGGGCCCTGGGATGGGGTCTAAGTGGGATGAGCTAGCCAACCTAGGTCTCAGGCTATTGGCATGGACTCCTGTTTGGAGGATGCAGCACTGTGCATGCCAGTTTTCTGGCTTGGCCCAACTTTTCAAGTCCTCTAGGCAGAGTCTGAGTCATGCCAGGGAAGGAATGGGGGAGGTTCATCCTTTGGAGGACCCTGGCCAAGGTTCTAATAGAACCTCACAGCACAGGCTGATGTGGCAGGGCTGGTGGCCAGCAGGATTCCCTGGCCTGGCACAAGGCCCAGTGTCGTGAATCTGCACAGCAGGCAGCTCTGAGCCAGGTATATCCCATCCCAGCTGACACTCCCAAGGGGCCTCCAGAGGTCTCGCAGCTGGGGGCACAGGGACAGAGCCCACCTCCAAACTGCCCCTCCCACTACACTAACCCCTAATGTTCCCCCCAGGGGAGTATTTTGAAAGATGGCTTTGTTGGGCATGGTGGCACACACTTGTAATTCCTGCACTCTGGGAAGCTAAGGCAGGAGGGTCCCAAGTTTGAGCCCAGCCTGGGCAACTCAGCAAGACCCTGTTTCAAAATTTGAAATACTCAAAAATGGCCTGGCATGTTGCTCAGTGAGAAGGACCTGGATTCAATCCCTCAGTATCACAAAAAGAGAAGAAGACAGAAAGAAGGAAAGGGGGGTGGGGAAGAGAGAGAGAGAGGGAGGAAGAAAACCAAACCACATGGCCTCATAGGTTCAGGCCTGTTGACCCTCAGCTACCTCCCCTGGCAATCCTGCTCCCTAAGTCAGTCAGGGACCACCACCCTTCCCAACATACATCCCTAATATTAGTGCTTCACCCTCATAGAAAAGAGCAAGGACCGTGGCAGCAACACGATCGGCGCCCGCCTGAACCGGGTGGAAGACAAGGTAGGCTCCAGCATCTGGCTCTGTAGGTGTGGTCTGTGCCCTCAGGGCCAGCTCAATGCCTCCGATGGCAGCTTCTCACACCCCTGATCTGTCCTGAGTGTACACTGGGGACTTGCACAGGGCCAGAGGGTGTGTGGTCCCCTCCCTGCCTCCATGCTCATGTGGCCCACATCATCCCTTCTCTAACTGGGACTCAGCCACCTGGCTGGCTATCTACCCACCCCCACCCCACTGAAGGGGCCTGGCCAGGCTGGTTTCTAGTCTTCTGACAAGTGGCATCTTTATTGGCAAGTGGCACCTTTCAGGAGCATGAGCTCCTGTGGTCCAGGAGCTTCCTGCAGTGCCCACCAATTCCTCCCTGGAGTTCTGCTGTCTACTTTCACCTAGCTAACCCAGGCCCATGGCCCTGCCTCTGTCCTAAGTGGAGGCACTGAGACCTTGAGGCCAGGCACACTGGGCCTTCACCGTGACCCACTTTCTCCTGCCACCTCTCATGCTTTGTGTTCCAAGAGCCTTCTGGCTGCACCCTGAGTAAGGGAAGGCAGTAGCAGCCTGGCTACTCAGGCTTCCTCTAGGCCCAGTTGTCTGAAGCTTTTGCTTTGGGCAGGCCAGGGCTCAGAAAACTCAGTCTGCCCGGGACTGGTTCATGGGAAGGGGCATCTTCTGCTTATCTCGGACCCAACTGTACTGGGGAGGGATCAGCTCAGGATGGGATGCTGGCTTGTCCTGGCCCTACCCTGCCAGGCCACATTGAGCCTCCACGGGCCAGTCTTAATTAGGGTCACAGGTGTCCAGGTGGGGTACAGCAGCCCAGGTGGCTTCTCTGTGGCCTGGCTGCTCTCTGCTCCCAAATGCCAGGGCCTGAATGGACTGAGCTACAGGGATGCCCCACTGCCTGCCAGCCTTGCCCACTGTCTCTAGCCCTCTCAGCCCAGAGCCTCTGCACAGGGTGGCCCAGGAGCCACAGGAGTTTCTGGACCAAGGGAGGCCCTTTTTTGGGTTAGGCTCAACCCACCGCTACCCTTTGAAGTCTGTGGTTTGAGGCGGGCTTTTATCTTGCTGGGCAGCTCGTCTGTCTACATGAATTTTATCTGAAAGTTATTGAGTGGCTAAAAATAGAGGAATTTCAGTTGGGCAGGGAGTGCTGCCTGCCTTGCTGGGTTGCCCAGCAACACCCAGCCCTGGCTCACTTCCAGTCACTGCAGTGGGGCAGGTGGGCCTGGCTGGGCCCACGAAGGAGGAGTGGCTCTCCATTCTTGCTCGGCCTAACCCGGGCCTGGGTGAAGTCTCCCCTCCCTACCTGCATAAGCCACCCCCAGGCTGTGGTGGCCATGGTTCCCTAGACCATTAAATGGAATCAAGCAAAGAGAGGGCAGGCTGGGCTCCAGGTGCCCCCTGGGGCCTTGACTTTGGGCTTGGCCTGCTGAGCAGTGTGTTCCCACACCTGGACCCCACTGGAGGACCGGATCAGGCCTGAGCAGGGTGGTGCCATGACCTTTGCCAGGGAGGAGGCCGAGCAGGAGTTGGTGCCCACCTGTCAAGATGAGAACAGGAGTCATCAGCTCACAAGACCAGGTCCAGCAGCCCATGAGCCTGGTCTTTGTCCTCTGTGAGCAAGGGTGACCCTGACTTACCCTCTTTGCGCATGGATCCAGTGACTCGGGGCTGGTGCACCAGGGCAGCAGGCTAGGCACATTTAGACAGCAAAGGAAGCTGGGAAAGAGCCACAGCACGATCTCCAGGCCCAACGCAACCTCCTCACTCAGCCCATGTGTCCCTGGTCAAGACAGCTGTCTCCCACCACTGGCCCAATCATAGAAGCTTCTCCTCGACAGCACAGGCTGAGATATGTGAACCTGCCCACCCCAAGAAGTTCTGAGAGCGCCACTCACTACAATTCCCAGATCACCCACAGTGTCCTGCCAGGTCTAGTTCTAACCCCCTCCCTGACTGTCCCAGGACTTTCTTAAGGCTCTTCTCACTGCCCCATGGATCACTGGCCCCTCCCCTTAAGCTGAGACCTGGAGCCTGGTGTCCTCTGAGGGATGACAGTGGGTGGCAGACAGTATCTCCTGAAAAGACGATGAAAATCCCCTCTTCTCGGGTTTGAGTTATGGCCATCCATGGCCTATTGGTGTCTGAGACCAAGGCCAGTGTGCAAAGGTGGGTCAGTGCTGGCCTCAGGCTACAAAATCACATGCCTGTGTTTCATCATCTCTGAAACACAAAGAGCCATGTTTTCAAGAATCCCTAGTTATTGCAGACAAGGCTTAGGAATAAAACTGGGACCAAGTAACAAAGCCCCCAGCCATAGCACTGCCAGGCTCTAATCCAGTGTTGCCAGGATGCTGGGAGATTCCACAGCAGGGGGCTTCAGCAGGGGGCACTACGCTGCTGCCCCCCCCATCTGACTTGGACCCAAGCTATTCATCAAGGGGCCAACGGAGATGTGCTGACTGGGGTGGCAGCAGCTCCTGGCAGCATTGCCTCCACCCATGGCAGCCTGCCCAGCCCCTCTTCTGCCAATGACCGCTGCCCCCATAGGGACAGACCCTGGGAAAGGGCTTCTCTGGGCCCAAAGGGCACAGTAATATGGCCTGGGCCTCACATTATCGCAGTTATCAATGTAGCCATCAGGACCATAAACAACCCAAGCGCAATCCTGCTGACCTTGGGAAGCAGGGGACAGGAAATCCCTCAGAGCCTAGCAGGCGCACAGCAGAGCCAGTGCCAGCCTAGCCAGCCAGCTCCAGCCAGAGCCCCTGGGCCTTTCCCACCCAGCCCTCCCCTCACTTCCATCTGCCAGTCTGGTTGTGGTGCCAAGGCAGTCAAAGCTGTGGCCCCCAGATCCTCACTTTTGAACTGAGTCCTGTCCCAGGCTGGATCATCCAGCTGCAGGACCAAGACCCGAGAGGAGAGGAGAAGGGGCCTTTGAGACTTAAAATCAGCTAGCCCCCACTTTTAAGAGGAGATCATTCTGAGGGTCAAGGGAGCCTCAAATGTTCACTTGCAGGTGTTACCCAGAGAAGCCCACTGAGGTTATTCAGGACTGCCTCAGTTTCCCTGAGGGGACCCTTACACCCTTATGTCTGGGCCAGGGACCCACTCTGGAGAGAAGGGCCCCTTTTGCCTCCCTGGCAGAAAGTCTGTTGTTGTGTGAAACTCTTTTTCAGCACTGGGCTCTCTCTGCTCCAAATTAGAAGCCTCCACATATCCTGCAGGATGCCCCATCCATGGGGCACTGTCCACCTCTGCATCTGTCCTGGCCACGGGCTGAGCCTTCTGTTCCCACCCATATCCCTGGGCTCAGGAACCTCCTCAAGTCTCAGACCTGTCCCCAGCTGGCCTCCCTCCATTGTCAAATGAGAGGCTTGAACTGTTGGTGTGCTTGTGTTTAAAAATCCAAAAGCTGCTTTACACTCTTTCGGCTTTCAGCTTATATTGTTGTCTTTTTTATTCTGAAAAGGGCTCTTATTTGTCCAAATAAATCCCGTCTCGTGGGTGGGATAACTAAAACCAGTGTACAGTCATCTGAGTGCACACGGCTAGCGAGGCAAATAGCTGAACTCCAAGGCCATAGACGAGGGCAGGAGAACTGAAGTAGAGAGGGATGGAGACAATGAGAAGGTGTTTCAGAAATATAAGGGTTTCTCTGAGAAGAGTCTGGGGCCAACACTGAGGGTCAAGGCTGGGGGAGCACAGGCAGCAAGGCCCATGGGCCATGGTCAGGGGAAGGGGGCTGTCGGACAGGTACAGGTTGCCTGTCATCCTGCAGCAGTAGTCGTAAGAGTGTTGGCCATACCCAACCCAGCCCCAGGCCCACTGGACGTCCCTGGGCTCTCTGAGGAGCCCACTGAGGAATCTGTGCCCATCTTCCTCTTGACCTGTCTTTTCAGCCTTTCCCAGGCCTGCCATGGTGTTTACGTTGGGTACTGCTCATTTTGCAATCTAAGTTCAGTCTGCTGTGCCGATATGAGCAGCACAGAAGGCTGGAAGATTTTATTTCTTCTCTGTTTTTGCGGGAAACTGTCATAGCTTAGAGTACAACATGGGAGTTCTGGATTTCCAGACACCAGTTCAGAGAGCAACTAGTGGGGAACCACCACCCACCCCCATCCCTAACCCAACCCTGAACTCTCCCACCACAAGCTATCCACTGAGCTGTGCACCCAATATGGATTCTTCCCTAGACACTGCTACTCGGCCCCTCCTCCCAGACACAGTCCTCTGCCCCTCAGGCCTACAGGATAGACTGCACTGCCATCCCAGGCACCTCCCTGGGGTTCCCCAAAAATCTGCCTCGGTACCACTCATCCTTGCTCTCTAGCCCCACATCTTGAGACCAGGCTTTTATCTTCTGTAGCTTGGGTTATTTATCCAGCCATCACTGCAGACTCCAGCCCCTCACGTTGTATATTATTTCTCAAACATTGCTGAAGTCCACTTGCTAATGTTTTGTTGAGAACTTTTGAATCCATACTTCTGTGTGACATTCGTGTGTAGCACAACTTCCCTCTCTTACTCTATCCCATCAGGTTTTGGTAACACATTCATGTGAGCCTCACAGACTAAGATGAGAAGTGTTCCTTCCCTCTCTTGTGTACTGGGATATTATTAGAATTTTTTCACTTCACGGTTCAGTGGAACTTGGAGGCCAAGCCATTTAGTCCTGCTGTTCTCTTTGTAAGAAGATTCTTAATCACTGATTCAATGGCTCTTAGGTTATTGACTGTTGGGGTTTTCTGTTTCTTCTTATGTCAGCTTTGAAAAATAATATATTTGAGAAATTTGTACATTTTATCTTAGCTTTCAAATTTATTGACATTTATTGTTTTAATGTCTATAGCATAAGTATTTTGCCCCCTTTATATCCCAAATTTGACTTTTTGTGTTTCTCCCCAGTGGTCAACAAGCTTTCCAGCTAATCACCAGTTTTATTAATATTTTCACCCGACTTTTGGCTTTGTTGATCTTCTGTTGTAGCTTTTATTTTGTTTCAT